CTGGGAAAGCAGCAGCAGATGACCCAAGTCCTTGAGCCCCTGCACCCTTGTGGGAGACCCGGAAGAAGCTCCTGGCTTCACACCGGAACAGCTCTGGCTGTTGTGGCCAACTGGGGAGTGAACCAGCAGATGGAAGACCTCTCTCTCTCTCTGCTTAACTCTTTCAAATAAAAAAGTCTTTAGAAAAAAAAAAAAAAAAGGTTCCAACAGTCTTTTTAAGAAAAATTTATAATCCTAGCCAACAATCAGAGCTATATTGAGTTTTTATTTTTGAGGAAAAACTAGTTAACTCAGAAACACTCACCAAAATACACCGGGAATATTCTCCTATGCATAAGTTATGTTAAAATCACTAAAGTAAGAAACAAAGCCACTCATTCATTTTTGGAAAAAATACACAGAGCACTTACTAGGAGCCAGGCACTCTGCTGGAGGCAGAAACATCACAGGCACATTCCCTTCTCTCAAAAACATTGTTAATCCAGTAAGAGAAAAAACAATAATGTATGGTAAGTACTATGACTGACAGTTGAGTACATACTGATACAAACAGCTTAGATGAAGTAAAACCAGGGAAGGCTTCCTGAATAAAGTAACATTCAGGTTTAGACCAAAAACTAAGGTTTGGATTAGCCCAAGTGCAGAAGTATTCCAGAGATAAAGAGTGGGAGATGGGGGCTGGCATTGTGGTGTAGCAGATAAAGCCTCCACCATCTCAGCTGTTCCACTTCTGAACCAGCTCGCTGCTAATGTGCCTGGGAAAGCAATGAAAGATGGCCTAAGTCTTTGGGCCCCTGTATGCATATGGCAGACCTGAAAGCAGCTCCTGGTTCAAGGCTTCAGCCTGGCCCAGTCCTGGCCATTTGGGGAGTGAACCAGCGGATGAAGATCTCTGTCTCCCCACTGCCCCCTCTCTGTAACTCTGCCTTTCAAATAAATAAAATGAATCTTTAAAAAAAAAAAAAAAAGTTGGAGGTGAGAATATAAATTCTGGGAAGAAGGGTTTGAAGAAAGAGGGAGAAAAGAGGGGAGGTGCAGAGTACTTGACACAAGATGAAACACAGGGGGCCAGCGCTGTGGTACAGCAGATAAAGCTGCCGCCTACAGTGCCAGCATCCCATATGGATGCCGGTTTGAGCCCCGGCTGCTCCACTTCCCATCCAGCTCTCTGCTATGGCCTAGGGAAGGCAGTGGAAAACAGCCTAAGTCCTTGGACCCTTGCACCCACATGGGAGACCCAGAAGAAGCTCCTGGCTCTGGATTGGCACAGCACCAGCCGATCATTTAGGGAGTAAACCATTTAGGGAGTGAACCAGAGGATGGAAGACCTCTCTCTCTCCCTCTGCCTCTCCTTCTGTGTAACTCTGACTTTCAAATGAATAAATCTTTAAAAAAAAACAAAACAAAACAAAAAAAACACAGGACCTTGTAAAATATAGTAATTTAGACTTAGAATAAAGGCAACAGGAAACAACTAAATGGTTTTATGCAGAAAAATGACCACACTGAAATCTGCATACTAGTAAATAACAGGGTGGAAGTGAAGAATAAATTAGAATGAGATGCCAGGGGAGCCATGGAGAGGCGACTACTGTTACAGGTGTCTTGGATTACAGATGATGGTGGCATGGAGTAGGGTTGTGGAAATTGACATAGAAAGAAAAGATTGGCTGGAGAAAAATTAAAAAGGACAGGACTGTATTTAATAACTGGAAGAATGGGATGGAGTAGGGGAAGAAGAGACAGAGAGAAGTCAAAGATTATCCTAGATTTCTTCACTTTGCAGTTGAGGGAATGATGGTACCAACTTACTATCCTGTCCATTGGAGATGTTTTTAAGGGCCTAAAAGTATTATTTTTTCTTTAGTTATACACACTGATATAAACAAAGCAAAAATACTTTGATTCTAGCATGATGTTTTTAAAATATTTATTAAGACCAGCATTGTGGCACAGTGGGTTAAACCACTGCCTGTGATGCTGGAATCCCATATGGGCACCATTCAAGTCCCAGCTGCCCCACTTCTGATTCAGCTACCTGCTAATGGTCTGGGGGAAAGCAATGGAAGATGGCCCAAGTGCTTAGGCCCTTGTTTCCCACATGAAAGACCCTGAAGAAGCTCCTAGTTCCTGGCTTCAGCCTGGCTCAACCCTGGTCATTTTGGCCATTTGGGGAGTGAACCAGTGAATGGAAGCTCTTTCTAATTCTTTCAAGTAAGTAAACACATATTTTAAAAATATTTTTAAAAAATAAAAATTAAAAAAAAATTTTTTTATTTGACAGGTAGAGTTACAGACAGTGAGAGAGAGAGAGAAAGGTCTTCCTTCTGTTGGTTCACCCCTCAAATGGCCATTACGGCTGGAGCTACGCTGATTCAAAGCCAGGAGCCAGGTGCTTCCTCCTGGTCTCCCATGCAGGTGCAGGGGCCCAAGCACTTGGGCCACCCTCCAGTGCCTTCCCAGGCCACAGCAGACAGCTGGAATGGAAGAGGAGCAACCGGGACTAGAACTGGCACCCATATGGGATGCTGGTGCTGCCGGCGGAGGATTAACCATGGCACCGGCCCCTTTAAAAAATATTTTAAAAAATATGCATTTACTTATTTGAAAGGCAGAATTAGAGATTAATCTTGCATCTGCTGATTTACTCCCCAAATGGCTTCACCAGCCAGAGTGGGCCAGGCTGTAGCCAAGAGCCAGGAACTCCATCAGAGTCTCCTACATGACTGGCAAGGACCCAAGCACTTGTGCCATCTTCTGCTACTTCACCCTCATATGGGCTGCAGCTTAACCTGCTGTCACAATGCTGGTTCTCTGGCATATGATTTTTGTCTCTTGAACTATATCTTTCACCCTACATGAAATAAAAAATCTATATTCCACACATATACACCAATAGGAGAGAAAGAAAATTTAGCACTGAAATATGCTTAGGAATGGATGCTTAGCCTAGCAGGTAAGACAATTTAAGACACTTACATCTCATACTGGAGTGCCTGGGTTTAATAACTGGCTACAGCTCCTGATTCCAGGTTCCTGCTAATGCAGACCCTGGGAAGCAACAGTAACAGCCTACATAACTGAGTTTCTGTCACCCACGTGAACTGAATTCAGTCCAGCCTAGGCCTAGCCATTGCAAGCACTTGGGGAGAGAACCAGCAGATAAGAACTAATACTCACACTCTATGCTAAATAAAAACTCAAACAAAAAGCCAAAAAACCCACACACAAACCCAATTAAAACGAAAGTGAAGCCACAGATGAAAAACTCAAGAACTGACAGTGCTTCCAAAACACACAAGGTGTCTCAAAATGTTTTCCTTGAATTTATATAGTAACCTAAGCACATAAGTACCTCTTTAGTAAAAATATTACAGCCTGTTCTTAAAGTAGAACTTTGGCAAAATGAATACAAAAATCTACAGAGAAAGAGCACTACCCTTTGAAACTCAATACCCAGAACAAAGGGCAGTAACCTTTGAAAATCATTCATTCAGAAACGTTGAAATGTCCTAAACTTCTTTAAATGGACTAAAGCAAATTAAACCCTTCTAAACTCTTTTTTCTTTTTAAATGTTTTAAAAATTTGTTTAGTTTTTGTTCTTCTTTTCCTTTTAAATTTAGGCTCTTTTAAAACACTTGTCTCTATAAAGCTCCGATACTGTGAAAAAGCACAGACCGCTCTAGGAAAGGAAGCACGCATCACCCCCTTCAACACTATCACCTGATAGACTAATTTCACATGCACTTATAATGTATACGGTTATGTATTTAAATAGGAAATAAGGAATTAGAAGACGGACCTTTCAGTACCTGGCAAAAATAAAAAATGCCACTTGTATTCTCTTAGGGTAGGTTATATATTACAAAAAATGGATTTCATCACGACTGGATTAATCTATGAAATACGAATCAGATGGCCCACACTACAGGTGCCTAGCAACCCCCCATCTTCATCCCATGGGCTTCTCCCACACACTATTTCATCAGTTACCTAGGGAGTTGTGAGGGATGGCTACGCTTTCCCTGCAAACAGATAAAACCCGAGCACCGAGCATGCTCAAGGAACGTGTTCAATTAATTATGAAAACTACTTCCATCACTTCTCCCTGCAGCCTTGGTGGTTAAAAAGCCCCAATTCTCGTTCAAAGTTAACCTGATCAATGTTAAAGAACTCGGGGCACTCATCTGACTGCTATCACCGAGGGCCTATCCCCTACACACGTGTACCAAGGCCACCAAAACGAAAAACTTCCCCCCAAAAGTTTTTTCAACCGTTCTAACATAACGGAGGAAAGAACTTTCCTCCTCTGGCTACACGAAGAAAGGTCTCGCGTTTCTACGGTGCTCTCAGACTTGGCTGCTGGCGAGCAGTATGTGTGTCTTAAAAGAATTTAAGAATTGTGATCTCCCTTGGAAGATGGTGCTAATACAGTACTTTGTTTAAGGCTACAACGCTGACTACGGAACGTCTACGGCTTGAACAAAAGGAGGATTATACTTAATGTAAGAAGACTGCCTCCGGACAGAACACAGTCCTAAAGCTGTAAATTAAAAAAAAAAAAAAAAAAAAAGAGCACTCTTAGTTTGCCGTAATTCAAATCGTGCGTCTCTTGACAGTGACGGCCAAGTTTTCCCACGAAATGGAGGTTAACCCGGGGATTAGCCCTCCAGTAGTGCGAGAGGCGAGACTCGCACTCCTAGACCTGAAAGAGGGAAGAGAAACCAGAGAAGGGGCCCAGCGAGAACAGAGAAAAACCAGCTCCCGGCTGCCCAAGGGGTCTGTTCGACAAGCACACGCCATTCTTGAGCCGATTAACTCGGGAGTAACCCGAACCCCAACCCTCGCCGACAGCGGGGCGAACTCCGAAGTCTCGGGAAGAAGGCGCCCGAGTCCGCTGACAATGAGAATCGCTCCTCTCGAGGAGTGCGGCCGCTGGGAGCAGACCGTGCCTTGCCCGAGCCGCCTTCCCGTTCGCTCGTCGAGGAGCCTGACCCACCTGGAGACCGCCATGGTCGGGCGCCGGCGGTTCCGAGCACCCCGCGAGCTACGCGCCGCGCCGCTGAGGCGCTAGTTTCCAGAGAGCAGAGCGGCGCAGGCCCAGGCCGCGCGGCGCCGGGGAGCGGCCGATAGGGCGCGTGGCGTCCGGGCGCGGGCTCTCGGGCATCTGCCCCGCCGCCTACTCGAGCTCGTCGCCGCCGAGGCCGGGGAAGCAGGGTCCGAGGCGGCGACTGAGGCGGCAGTCCTCCGACCCGCACGACTTCAAACCGGGTGCCCCCAGCCCCGCTCTTTGCTGACGCAGGCGTCGGCACGCCGGACTGAGCGTCAGCGCGCCGGAAGTGACGTCAGCGCACCGCGAGCTTCTCCGCTCCGTGGGTGAGCAAAAAAGGAGCCCGAGCTGCTGGAGCAGGTGGCGAGCGTCGGAAAGAAAGTTCTTTGTGGCGCTCTGGAAAGGATTTTTCTTGTTCTGACGCTAGGCAAGGAGGGGAAGTAGTGGCTTCTGATTTTCCAGAGACGGGGAAAGGAGATTTAACCAGCATTTCGGAAGCTGGAAACCTTGGTTTCTAATTCTACCGCTCTGATCGTTCTCCTCCACATTGCTTCTACAGAGAGCCAAACTGAAAGCTCTGGTCGGTGGCGATGCCTTTGAGAGGGCTGAGATCAAGAAGGATCTGCCGTTGGGGATCAGCGTTGCGGCATAGCCGGTTATGCTGCTGATGCCCCATCCCTTAGCGCGCCAGCCCGAGTCCCGGCGGCTGCTCGACTTGGGATCCAGCGCCCTACTAATGCGCCTGGGAAGGCAGCGACAGATGACCCAAGCAGTTGGGTCTCTGTGACTATCCTGGGATGGTCCGGATGGAGTTCCTGGCTCCTGGCTTAAGCCCGGCCCAGCCCAGCCTGTTGAGGGCATTTGGGGCGTGAACCTGCGGATGGAGGATTTCTCTCTCTTTGTCTCTCCCTCTTGACCTGTAACTTTGCCTTTCAAATAAATAAATAAATTTTTTTTAAAAATAATAGAGTTAAGTGAAGGAACTGGCTCAAACATTTGCCATTGTTCTGCATAGGTGTTAAAGGGAAAGTGTGCCAAGGATTCTGTCGCTGGTGCCCTCGTTTTCTCAATCAAATTTGAAAACTCCCAGCTATTATTCTTTGATCATCTGATAATGGAGTTTTTTGAGTTCATGAGGTTTTAAACACTTCTGTCACCTAATTCAGGTCTCTCTCTCTCTCTCTCTCTCTCTTTTTTTTTTTTTTTGACAGGCAAAGTGGACAGTGAGAGAGAGAGACAGAGAGAAAGATCTTCCTTCCGTTGGTTCACCCCCCAATGGCCACTGCGACTGGCATGCTGCGGCCTGCACACCGCGCTGAACCGAAGCCAGGAGCCAGGTGCTTCTGGTCTCCCATGGGGTGTGCAGGACCCAAGCACTTGGGCCATCCTCCACTGCACTCCCGGGCCACAACAGAGAGCTGGACTGGAAGAAGAGCAACCGAGACAGAATCCGGCGCCCCGATGGGGACTAGAACCTAGGATGCCGGTGCCTGCGCAGACGGAGGATTAGCCTATAGAGCCATGGCGCCGCCCCTAATTCAGGTCTTTATCACCTTAAATTTACATGCTAGTAATCAACTAGTGTTTCTCCAGTTTCTCCAATCCAGCCCATTTAGGTCTAAACCACAAAGCATGTCGGTTGACTTCCCATTACCTGAAAAGGCCTAGGTCTCCATCTTTGAGTCTGTTTTCCTCTGTTAAATGAGGCTAATGAGAAATGCTGAGAACATAAAGAGGGCTATGAAAATAAAATGAGGTAATATTTCCAGAAGAGATTATAAGAACTTTGTAAACCATAAAATTGTGTGTGTAGTAAAGAGAAAGAAACTAACTTAAGTCCCTGCTAAACACTCAGCATGTGACTGGCATTAGGTCATATAATTCATAGGCCAACCCTGTAAATATACGCTTTAATTTTTACTTTATAGAGAGGGAACAAAGCTCAAAATTTTAAGTAATTTTCCCAAGCTCCATTGCTAGTAATAATTTTCATTGTTGTTCACTCATTGGTGCCTCTCAGTGTCAAATATTCTGCTAGGTGCTGTTTACACAGTTAGGCAAAATCTGACTAAACCAATGTTCAAACACCCACATTCTCACATTGATTGGTTTCCTCCAGCCTGCCTGCCAATTTATCTCCCACCATTCAAGCTAACAAACAGGCACTGTTTACTGATTATGTACAACATTGATCTATTCAGCCAAAATTAAGCTTCTACTATGTAAGAGACTGGACTTTAGAAGAGACCAAAACAGGCCGGCGCCACGGCTCAATAAGCTAATCCTCCACCTAGCAGCGCCGGCACACCAGGTTCTAGTCCTGGTCGGGGCGCCAGATTCTGTCCCGGTTGCCCCTCTTCCAGGCCAGCTCTCTGCTGTGGCCAGGGAGTGCAGTGGAGGATGGCCCAAGTGCTTGGGCCCTGCAACCCATGGGAGACAACCAGCTGTGGCGGCCATTGGAGGGTGAACCAATGGCAAAAGGAAGACCTTTCTCTCTGCCCCTCACTATCCACTCTGCCTGTCAAAAAAAAAAAAAAAAAGAGAGAGAGAGAGACCAAAACAGACAAGGTGCTCACTCCGGTTGAACTTAAATTCTAGTGGAAGGAAGAGGGAGTAAACATGAAAATGTGTTTACATGATAGGTAAGACAGAATGATTGGATAAAGAGGGTGATAGAGGCCTGCTCAGCTGGAGAATCTGGGCGAAAGTAAGGGGGAGCCTAAGTTGAGGCCTGCGACAGGAGAGCTGGCCGTGGGAAGCTCTGGGAAGCTCCCAGGAGAGGTACACCTAGTGCAAAGGCTTCAAAGAAATCTGCTCTGTTGGGAGAGGCACAGAGGGACCCGCGTAAGGAATTTGGATTTTACTCAAGATGCAGTAGGAAATCATAGCAGGGTCTTAATGATCAAAAGCTGGTTGATGTTTGAAAGATCTTGGTCTTTAATAACAAAGAGGTAATTAGATATAGACCAAATGGCATGTGGAAGAGAAAAGGTTGGTGTTACAACTTCGTAATAATCAAATGTGTTGATGTTAGACCGGCTTGTTTTTAAATCACTTCTCACCACGCTTAACAGCTGTGTACTCAGAGGAATTATATAACTTCTCTAAGCTTTTATTTCTTCATCTGGGAAATAAAGATAATGATAGCATTACTCATCAGGTTGTGATGGGGGATTAAGTGAGATAACGCACATAAAACATTAAACTAAGTGACAACCACAATAAGCACTCAAAAATTTTGTTAACTATACTGATTATTCTTTTTGTTACCAATATGACCTTAAGCAACTGACTTGATGTCTATCATTTGCTCAGCTGTGGAATGGGGGTAACAATAGTGCTGATGCACAATCCTTATCTGAAACCTCCGCCAGGTGGTTTTCTGGATTCAGAATTCTTTAGTCTTTGAAAAGTAATGCAGTGCAGGTACCTTGTGTGTTGCCACACCCCAGCAGCTTCTAGGGCAGCACTCTTAATCAAATATATTTGTAGTTCTATCGGACTATTAAGAGGAATAAATAAAAGACTGTATATAGCTTCAAAAGTGAATTATTTATCCCTTTAAATATTTTAAGTATATAAAGATTCAAATGTATACACAAAAAGAGAACAGTGTGGTAAGTCCTACTGTATTCATCATTCACATTCAACAATTATCAGCCTCTGACCTCTGCTGTATTCAACTATCTGATACATCTTGGACCTTGTTCCATTCTAGTTCATATAAACTTAAGTTTTCTGTTTTTATGATTGCTTCACATTTTTATAATGAGGGTGTTATATAAGAAATGGAACCAGTCTAACTAATGGATATTCATAGTTTCCAATCTTATGTCACTAGAAACACTGCTGCAATGAATATATTTTCTTTTTTTTTTTTTTATCTTTTTTAAATTGACACCTAAAAATGTGCACATTTGTGGAGCACCATGTGATGTTTTGGTATATATACATCTAAATGAATTATTTTTAGGCATGATTTTCAGACTTTTTTTCAATTTCAGAATGATAAATAATGAATCATGGGTCTGTATTTATAAAGTTGTTGTAAAGATTAAATGAGTTGGGCCGGCGCCGCGGCTCACTAGGCTAATCCTCCGCCTTGCGGCGCCGGCACACCAGGTTCTAGTCCCGGTTGGGGCGCTGGATTCTGTCCCGGTTGCCCCTCTTCCATGCCAGCTCTCTGCTGTGGCCAGGGAGTGCAGTGGAGGATGGCCCAAGTGCTTGGGCCCTGCACCCCATGGGAGACCAGGATAAGTGCCTGGCTCCTGCCATCGGATCAGCACGGTGCGCCGGCCATTGGAGGGTGAATCAACGGCAAAAGGAAGACCTTTCTGTCTCTCTCACTGTCCACTCTGCCTGTCAAAAAAAAAAATTAATGGCAAAAGAATTATTATTAACAATTGGAGGAATCTTGGACAGTTAAGTCTCCATATGGAAGGAAAAATCAAATCCTTCATACCATGTGGCAAAATAAATCTCCAGTGTATTAAAGACCTAAAAATGAGGGGCTGGCATGTGGCCTACAGACTGAGACTCTGGTTAAGATGCCCACTTTCCATACTGGAGTGCTTTTCTTGGGTTTGATTCCTGACTGCTTTCTGATTCCAGCTTGCTGCAGTGCAGACTCTGGGGACCAGTCCAGTGGTGGCTAAGTCGTGGAGTCTCCACCACCCATGTGGGAGACATGGATTGAGTCCCCGGCTGCCAGCTGTGGCCTGGCCCTGCCCCAGTCGTTGTGGATGTTTGAGGAGCAAACCAACAGATGAGATCTGTTTGTTGTCTCCCCACCCTTCTCCCTCCGTCTAGCCCTTCTTCCTTATCTTTCTGCCTCTCAAATAAGTAAGTCCCATGTTTACTGTTTCTTTAAATGAAAAATAGAACTCTAAAACTATTAGAAGACTATACTGAAGAACATTCTTACCACAGGATTTTTGAAAAAAGATTTATTTAGCTTTTTTGAAAGGCAGAGAGGGAGAGAGACAGATCTTCCTTTCTTCCATTTGCTGGTTCACTTCCCAAATGGTCACAAAGGCTGGGGGCTGGGCCAGACTGAAACCCAGAGCCTGAACTCCACCTGGGTCTGCCCCTGTGGGTGCAAGGGCCCAAGCACTTGGGCCACCTTCTGCTGCCTTCCCAGGATTACTAGCAGGGAGCCAGAGGGGAAGTGGAGCAGGAGGGAACAGTGCCTTTATGGGATGCTGGTATTGCATCACAATGCCGGCCTCTCAGAGAGGATTTCTTAGTGCATGAAAGATATTGCC